TGCATAAACTAATAGTGAGAATTAAATGTAGTCCCAGATACCCATGTGCTATGCATGCATTATATATATACTGTTAAATATTTTATTTCTGTAAGTTAATTTTTGTATACTTCTAAGCCTTTATGTTATGCTCAGAATTCCAAGCTGATTTTCTGTTTTAGAAGTCATTGGCCTTCAAATGACTTTCTAGGGAAAGGATTTGAATAAAGACTTATATTTTACTTTTACTTTGCAGATGTATTGGCTAGCCAAGAACATTCTGGAGAAATAGCAACTGTTACTATTGATCAGCGTGAGTAGTAATGCCAGCAGCTTATTAAGACAAGTATCTGTCAACAAGATGTTGACATGACAGATATTTGGAGAGCCCCACAAGAAATCCATTTTTGAAAGCAAAACTCTTAAGAGTTTAGTTTAATCAAGCCAAAGAATATTTCTAATTCTTTTCTTTAATCATAGGCTTTCTGCCCAATTTTTTTATCAAATCGTATTGGTAATATCAGCTGTTTGAATCCACATTCTTGGTGAATGTATACCAGAAGTATAGCTTTATTTTTTGTCCAAGATTTTAATATTTCCAGCAATCATTTTTAAAGCTGCACTTGGTGTTACTAGATTACAATTTTTAAAATTTTCTGAATTAGAAAGAAAATATTTAGTAATATTGAAAAGCAACATGATCCATAGAGACCTGCTTAGAACTGATATAAAGACATTCATTTTAAAATGAAATACCATGAGTCTCAAACTGTTGCAGAACAACTTAATATACTAGTACTTATCATGTAGAAATGAACTAATTTTTGGAAGTCCTCTTAGAATGGTATTTATGCATACCTTAGAATGGTATATTATGTCTTTGCCATGGATTTTGTTACGAGACAAAGGTCCCATAGAGGGATCTCTACAATACCTTTGCAGTCTTTTTGAACCACTAAAAAAAATACTTCATTGCTTTCTGTATAAATTAGCAGAGAAGAGTATTCAGTGACTTTGGGAAGAGGTAAAGGATTTGGAGGGGCAGCCAGTATATTCTAGTTTATAAATTTGAGGAAGCAGTCATGGAGGGACTGCACTACAAATTTAGTAAGATGGATTTTTTTTTTCTCCCAGCCCTCAGGTCAGGATATTCTTAAAGCCCAATTGCATGGGTTTATGGTGGCTTCCCAAGTATTGGCCTTAGTAAAATTATAATAATGAAATAATTTTTCACGGCTAAATCATACACACTCACACCCAAACAAATTTAGTAAAATGGACAATTCACAGAAATTTAGGGCTGGAAGGGACCTCGTGAGATCATTGGGTCCAGCCTCCCTTCTGTGAGCAGGAAAGACTGCTGAGGTCAAAATGATAGAAATGTATAATATATTTAGAAAATACAGTCAAATCCACTTTAAATGGGTAGAAAGTATTTAAGTTATTTTTAGGGAGATGACAACTTGTAGAGGAAAATGTTTGGTTCTTACTTGTATTATCAATAGCTTTTAAAGTATGCCTTTGTGTATGAAGTTTTTCTTTCAGCCTTTTGTAATGAATGTTCTTCTCCAATGTTTTACCTTCTACAGCTGTGCAAATTATTCCAGCATCTGTACAGCCTGCTACCCCAACCACCATTAAAGTAATAAACAGCAGTGCAAAGGCAGCCAAAGTACAGAGAGCTCCAAGAATCTCAGGAGAAGACAGAAGTTCACCAGGAAACAGAACGGGTATGGTCTCCATTTCTTAAAAATGTATTTTAGAGGCAAGAGTGCTTGTGGGTAGTATCTTTTATTAGACCAGCCGCATCATTTGGATACACTTAGACAAGCTTTTGGGTATCACAGTAGCCTTTCTTGGGTCTCTGGAGAGAAGCAGGCACAGCAGAGCTAAACAACAGATGGAACAATGTCTTGTACAAAACTCCATAGGTAAATAAAAACAGGATATGAGAGAAATTATCAGGTAGCCAACTGACAAGAACAACATAGTAAAACCCTGGTAAGTGGAAGAGCAGGATTGTTCAGGAGGCTTATTATCACCTGTGAAATGTAGTGAGCATTAGGCAGATTACCATATAGGCCAAGAAGTTATTTTTTAAATCCCTCAGTGTGTCCCAACAGGCTAGTGAATTTTTGTTTCCAAACTTGTTGTTTGAAGGTGCCTGGTAAATTTCCCTTGCATGTGAGAACTATGAGGGCAAGGAGAGACTACCCTGTGAAAAATATTCTATCTGCATTCTAATGTCTGTCCTTTATCTTACTGAGAGGAGACTTAATAGCAGCCTTCAACTCCTGAAGTGGGGTTTGAAAGAGGATGGAGCTAGACTGTTCACAGTGGTGGCAGATGACAGAAGAAGGAGCAACAGTCTCAAGCTGCAGCAAGGGGAGTTTAGGTTAGATATTAGGAAGAATTTTCTCACTAGGAGTGTAGTAAAACACTGAAACCAGTTACCCAGTGGTGGTGGTGGAAGCTTCATCCTTGGAGGTTTTCAAAACCTGCCTAGACAAAGCTTTGGCTGGAATGATCTGTTTGGGGCTGGTCTTGCCTTGAGCAAGGGGTTGGGCTAGATAACCTCCTGAGGTCCTTTCCAACCCTAACTTTCTATGATTCTGGTCTCTAGGTTTTGTTTGGTTTCATCCATGTAGTTTCCATGAGGATATGTGGTGCATGGGATGAGGCATACCATAGACAAGTGTGTGATCCATGGATTCTGATCAGTTTTATTGTGGGGAGTGTTGATTGTTGTAGCAGTAGAGATGACTTGACAGGTCTTGCCTATACTGTTGAGGCAGAGTTGGGTCCTATTATGTCCCTGCAGGTTAGCAGGGAGTTTGGCTCTGTTGTATTGGGAAAGGTTGAGGGGTGTCTGAAGGCTAGGATCAGAGTGTCTGGGGATATTTCTCTCAAGATCTGGTCCTTTTTGAGTCTAACCTGTAATTGTTTGATGATCCTTTTTATTGGTTCAAGTGTGGGATAGTAGATGACAAACAAGGGTATGTGATCAGTGGAGGTTTTCTTCTTATACCATAGTAGATTGCTTCAGGGTGTTTAATGGTTAAATTGCATGACAAATATGCAGCATACCTTGGATCACTCTCTAAGATGCTATTTTTATCAAGCTTTCTGTGTTCAGTAGTACTTGGATGGTAGGTTGGCAGGAAAAATTCAGACGCTGCAGGGATGAAGTAGTTAATGACCCTCTTCCTATTCTGAGCCAATAAAATTCCCAGAATAGTGTTAGAGCAGTGTGTTTATTGGATGTATCATCTGGTAGATCAGACAAATGCCGGATTATGACCATTGTTGTCAGTAAAGATCTCCTGTCCTTTCTGCACCCTGCTTCCATACCATTTATTTAAACTTTAATTTTGTTTGTTAGATGCTGAAGGAGGAAACTAAGAGGGCAAATAATTAGTATGAAACAGATCCTTAGTCGGGCACTAGGAGCAATATTTGTTCAGTTCCTGCCATCATTTTGTTAGCGATGTCATTTAAGTGAAGGTTTATTCAGGAAAACTGCATACTGTTCTGCAGTTTATTTCCAGAATTTCTGTTCAGTTTTCTTCATTTGGCTCTTCATTAGACAAGTGTCCTTATGTTCTTTTCTTAAGGTCATTTATATGTTCTTTAAGCTTTTGCAAAGTGTCTTGTAATGAATGCACCAAGATTTTCAAAATGAGGAAGCTAAAACTGAGCTCCTAAGATAAGACCTTCAAAACTGATTCCAAAGGGAGTTACTGCATGATAAGTACTTCCGGAAAATCAGCTTGTTTCTAAGTACCCCTTTATAGTTTTAGGAAATAAAGCTTGAAGGATCATTAAAAAAAAAAAAAAAGTCAGTATTTTGGCAGCTATACCTGAGGGAGCTTGACCTGACCTAATATGAATTTGAAAAAGTCTTAAAGTAATTTCAGTAGGAAATTTGAGAGGAACATCTGAGTGTGTCTCTTCCTCAAATATATATTTGTAAGGGAAAACTCAAAGGCATATTTTCAAGGATTAAAATGTACTCAAATAATTGCACTTGACACTGAATAAAAATATAGTTCAAACTCAGTAGGTTTGTGATGTTCATTTGGCGCGTGTGTGTGCGCGTGTGAAGGAGATTGGTATTGATGGCTTAACTTGCCTTGGCAGGAAAATACTAGTCTTTGGAGTTCAACTACAAATGCTTAAAAGTAATAGCTGCTCCTAAGAATGTAATTTATTTTCATTGCAGTGTTGCAGTGCATTCTTCTGTGTTTGCAGTTTCGATGAGCTTAGGTTAATTTCACTTTTTGTTGCTTTACAATAGGAAATAATGGCCAGATCCAGTTATGGCAGTTCTTGCTAGAACTTCTTACTGACAAAGATGCTCGGGACTGTATTTCTTGGGTTGGTGATGAAGGAGAGTTTAAGCTGAATCAACCTGAGCTGGTTGCACAGAAATGGGGACAACGTAAAAATAAACCCACCATGAACTATGAGAAGCTTAGTCGTGCTCTGAGGTAAGGTTTGTTTACACCCTGTCCCCTCAGCAACCCTTCCACATATACCACGTACACTTCCCCACAACATACCCTGTTGCCCTGCATTACCACGGCTGCCAAGGTGAAGCATGGCAGCAGCATGGATTTGTGGCCCACGCTGCAGGTAGGCTCTAGGGAGCACATCACCTAGGTGAGCATGGCAGCATGGTGCTCCCACCCATGCTGGATCCCACCCGCTGCACCACAACACTCCCCACCCCCCGCCCCCATCCCGTGGGGAGCACAGCAGGGTGGGAAGCCCTGAGTGGGCAGTCCACATCCTCCCCCCATCCCAGGCTCTGCTTCAGCTGTGCCGCCCACCGTGTGTGGGGGCAGGAGGAGGGGGATCTGGGCTCTGTGCTCCGCTCCTGCCACAGCAGCTACTGCCTCCCACAGGCAGCAGCCAGGGCTCGGGCACTACTGGGGGGTGGCAGGGGACTGTGAGCCTTAGCCCTGGGGCACATCGGGGCATGGGGGGCTGTGAGTTGAAAGTGAGGGGCTATGCTGAGGAAATGGGATCATGAGGAGGAAATGTTTGGGAAGCACTGTTTTAATCACCTAAATGTGGGATTAAGCTTCAGTTTTCAGAAAGTTCTGGCTTGGATGGTGGTATATAAATTCACAACAATTTTCTGAGTATATTACAAACCTACTATTTCTCAGTGTTAACAATGAAGCAGTTCTGTTTTGAAGCGACAAAGATTTAATGTTCCTGAGAAAATGATTTTAATTGTAATACAGTTTTAATCCTGATGGTGTGAGGCTTTATGGAATTTTTAGCACCCTTAATGTGAGTAAAATCACGTACTAATATTTTGCTATTTTCAGTATTTTGGCTTTTGTTTATAGCATGTTTTGAAAGTCAAATAAGGTAGCCACCCATAAGTATCAGTAAAAAAAAAAAAAAAACAACAACCCAAAACTGCTATTTATACTTCAGTGTGCTTTATCTAAAATTGCAGTGACACGCATTTTCAAACTTGCTTAAGTCAGTGGCTTCTTAAAAACCAGGTAGGTTTTTTTTTAATTGTCTTGATTTAAATTGTGCCACCTTGAATATACAATTAAATGTGTAAAATGCTTCAAATTGAACATTAATAAAACTGGGATCCTTAATATTTCCTAAAATTTCTTAAAGTATTGTTTTAACATTTATAAAATGTGTAATGTTGTTCCCTTTGCTGTATTACTATTTTGCTTTATCCAGTTGTGGTATTAGGATATACATAAAAAAGAGTATTCCAGTATCAAAACAAAGAAAGTGATTTTTTTTTTTTTAAGATAAAAGGGGAAAGGGAGGAGGGGTACGTAAGACTTTCAGCACTCCAGCACAGCTGAAGAGATAAAGAATCATGTTCTTATTATCAGGGTATTTATATAATTATTTGCCTAAATGATGGTTTGGGGCGGGGGGGGGAATCTTTTTTTGTTCCTCATATGATTGTTCTTTTGGCAGCTGTTTCAATATTGCGATGTTTTCTAATGCTTGAGAGTCTTGGGATAATTTAGGCCTCTTGCTGCCACTAAAATAAATGTTGTTCTTTTCCTGGATTTGTTTAAACAAAAAGTGAGATCTAACTTACTGCTTACTAATTAAAACCACTGTAAATTTCTGATTATTAAATGACAGTGAAGCTGGTGATGAATGCATAAGATATTTTGCCCAAATGTTGGAAAGTTGTAAAGATGAACAAGTAGCTCTTGTTCTCTCTCGTAATAATCAGGGATTACAATTGATTTGAGGGTTTTTGGTGTGTCCCTGACTGCTACCAGTGAATTACCAGAAACAGTATCGGTTTCCTTATCCAACAGAAAAGTAATACTCGGCTAATTTTTGATCTTCTGTTTGCTGACGGCAAAGTAGTATGTGACGTGTAAAGCTAAAAAGTTTAAACTGCTGTCATTCTGAGTATTACCATCAGCAACAAAGATTTTCTTGAGCTGTCTGCCAAAGCATTTGGGAAAGAATTGTATTCAGTTGTTTCTGTTTCTTCATCAAAATTACATCGAATTAAAAAAGTGTGAAGGACTAAGTATATTTTCACACACACAACTAGATCAGAAGAAAGGAAACAAATTTAGGGAACTGGAGTTTCCCTAGGCAGTGTATCCTGATTATTTTCTCTGGGGTCCAGGCACTGAATATAGTGGTCTCTTAGTTCACACTGATTTTGCTTTTTTTTTCCCCCCTCTCCATGAAGGTATTATTATGATGGGGACATGATCTGCAAAGTACAAGGCAAGAGATTTGTGTACAAATTTGTCTGTGACTTGAAAACTCTCATTGGCTACAGTGCAGCGGAATTGAATCGTTTGGTCACAGAGTGTGAGCAGAAGAAGCTGGCGAAGATGCAGCTTCACGGCATTGCACAACCAGTCACAGCAGTGGCGCTAGCTACAGCATCCCTGCAAACAGAGAAAGATAATTAAGCACTAGGACCTGAAAGTAGGAGCCAGAGGCCTTTCCTATATACCCAGAGCAGTTACTGCTCTTATCTTTATCAGAATTGGAAGCTTCTATTATTCTTTGGCAGTACAATATGATGCATGATTTTCTACAAGGAACTAGGACACCCATAAATTTGGATCTTTTAAGCAGCATATATTTCAGTATGAGTTAGGGGATCACCACAGCTTTTTCAACATGAACACTGACCCACTGTGGAATGTAGTCTGGAATTGGTCAGAAAAGGTGAACTGTTCTCAATGTTGTGTATCCAGCCCTGCAAATATTTGTTACTGTGTGAAGTATATACAGGAAACAGGCTGGTCAGTTACTTGAGTTCAACCATTTTCACTATTTTTATTTGCCACTGATTACCAAATGGAATCTGATGCATTTAATGGTAAAGCATAGGTTGTCAATAAACATGCTCATTATTTTCTTCCAATCAAGCAGAGCTGAAAGAAAAGACGCATTAAAACCTTACAAGGCATCAAGTCTTTAAGATAGTTTCTCTACTTATAAGCAAAAGAAACTAAGAATATACTGAGCTGAAGATCAGTGCTGAAGAAAGAGATCCAGATTTAAATCTGGCTTAGGTCAAAAGCCAATTATGAGTATTTCATTTAAATATGTAGATAACATGCATATATAAGGATAAGTACAAAACTGTTTTGAAAGACATTGTCATGCTAGAAACTCAGTAAAAAAAAAAATCCATGTTTTCTTTAGTCAGGTGGTGGTTAAAAACTTGAAAAGGTTTCCCCTCACCCAAAGAGTATCTTTTGGTTTTTAATACTCCACAGAGTACTGATTAGTCCAGGATGCTCGTACCTGCACTGTAGCTGATCCTGATAAACTGAAGACTTAATCGCAGTCAGCAGTCCAATCTTGCTTAGAAACAAAATGTAGGTTGCAAATAATTATACAAAGAACTAAAGCTTGACTTTGGAAAATATTGAAGTTTGCTATATTAAAATATGAAAAATACTTCTTTTAATGAGTTTATTTACAAACATCAGGTAATGTTTTGCAGCCTCAGAAACAAAACTGCATGTTCCTGAGTTCAAAGCAGGATAATTGTCTGGATAATTTTTTACAAAAATATATGGTTGCAATGTATCCTGAATCCCAAGACACTGCATGTTATACATAGTGCTTCATATACATGGGAAGAACAAAAATGTCTTTGCAGTTTGAGCTGTTCCTGCTGCCTTGCTAGACTGCTACTTTTGACATCTGAAAAGTGTATCTTTTCAGTTTTACCCACCTCCCCCTTTGTGTTACTATACATTTTTGCTGCTTTCTGCAAGCAATAACTTAAAAAAAATAACGAGCCGCTGGTAGATGCTTTATCCTCACTTGACTCATAGTTAAAATATAATTGGATAAGGACAAAATCTTTATTTCCATTATGAAAGGTCAAGTTGCCCTGAAAAATTAAGTCAAGAACCTGACTCCATTGACAGGTGCTGAATCTAAAAGATACTGAAACTGAGTGGGAACATGAGGCCATTGTTCTTGATAGGTGAAAAGAAGAGTCTTATTTGCTTTCAAAGAAAATAAAATTGGAGAGGCTGATATAGCTTTAGGGTTTTATTTCTCAAGAACCCTTCATGAAATGGAATGTGTATTATCTAGATCAGTCATCATCTCAATGCCCCTACTTGTAGGCCTAAGGATCTCTTGTGTGGGTTTTTTGTCTAACTTTTAAAATATAACTACCACCTTCATTGTAGTACTTGTGCCAAGCTCCTGTCAGGATTCTTAATCTATGAAAATGGGGTTTTTTTTTTAATATCTGACGTGCTCCTTTGTCTATCAACAGGAGAGCATGTTTCATCCAAAAGATACGTTAGCTGTATAAGAAACTATAAGCAAATTCAGTTTTTAGTTACAGATACAAACACATCTGTCAAGTCAAATACCTGTTTGTTAGCATTGTTCTGGTAGGAGATCTGTCCATTTTCACTGTAAGTCAGAAATTTGTAATCTGTTCTGTAAATAAGACAATTATGGGATGGCTAACTTGCTTATTAATGGTGACATTTAACCTGCAAGTTCTATGGCTAAAACTTTTCTTTTGGGTTGTTTTTTTCTGGTCTAGTGCCCCACTGTTTGAAACGGGGGGGGGGGGG